GGGTCCCGGCCGCGCTGGCCGCACCCCGTCACCCCAGCGTAACCTCCAGGCCCCGAGCCCGCGTGTCCGAGGCGCCCCACTCCGGGGTTTGTGCGCCCGTCGAGACCCAAGTCCTCCTCTGTCTTCCCTGGGACGGGAGCCGGGGGGCCTCCCATGCGTGGGGCGGAGCGGGGGCCGGGGGAGGAGACGTGGGGGAACCCTGATGTCTGAGTCCCCCGACCTTGTGGCCGGCGAGGGGCGCGCGTGCTTCTCCGCGCTGACCAACACGTGGACCAGGCTCCGCGGGGATCGAGGCGTGGGGAGGCGGGCCGGCGCCGTCCAGGGGGCCCGGAGCCCCGGGTGTGTGTGGGGGGAGGGGGGGTTCTCGCCGGGAGGGGCGGGCGGGTCCCGCACATGCCCCCTACGGAGAGACCCGGATGGGGGCGCGCGGAGCGGGCTCCCAGGGCCCCGACCCGAGCCCGCCACCGCCCACCGGCCGAGATGGCGGCTGGCTGGGAATTGTGGGAAATGTAGTCCGAGCCACCCCTCGCCCGAGAGCCGGGAAGCGCCAACTTGGGGCTGGACTGGGCGCTGCCCTGGCCGCCGGCAACCCGACTCTAGCCGGAGGAGGAAACTCCGACCGCAGACGGGGAAGCCTGGACTCGCGATAATAAAGGTAATAATAGCATCTGACCCCGAGCGATCGCTGGTGTGGACCTCTACCGTCCAGAGCAGCTGTGTCCGCCACGCGCACACACGGCTGACAGAATCCACGGAAATCACAATAAACTCACCAGCCTCCGCCGTTTCCGTTAGCTTTAATTCACCAGACACTCGGGGCCATTGCCAATCACAGGTTCTTTTATTCTAATCTTAATTACTAATAGTGTCGGGTCACACGGGACAGTCACATAAGAATACGTGCAGATTACAGTATAGCTCCAAAAAGGCTAAAGAGGCTCCAAGGTCCAGGCTTCTGTGCTGAAGGCAGGCGCAGAAAGCTGCTATAAATGCAAGAAAAACACTCTGTAGAGTGCCAGGCCAGAAGTTCCGGGAACCAAGCAGGCACGGAGGTGTCAACAGCTGAGACTTGCCAGATGAAGGTCTAGGTGACAATTCTAAGCGTCAGTTTGAAGCAAGCTGGAGTCTAGGGACTTGAGCACAGGTCCTTCACTGTGGCCAGCTTCCTGGATGGGGCTGGTGATGAGTGAGAAAGGTGGTGGTGGTGGGACAATGTGGGTCTCTGTGTCCCTGGATCGGCTAGGTGCCAGTCACAAGATGCTCCTTCATTTCTGTGACCCAGGTAAAGTGCTTGCACCGTGTGATCATGTCTCTGGTTTTTCCTTTTTTTTTTTTTCTTTCTTTCTTTTTATCAGTGCCAGTACTGGGGCTCAACCTCAGGATCAGCAATCTGTTTTCTGTTCAATGCTGGTGCTCTACCATTTGAGCCACACCTACACTTCTGGCTTTTTGGTGGCTAATTGCGATAAGAGTCACAGGACTTCCTTTCTTGGGCTAGTTTTGAACCTTGATCCTCAGATCTCAGCCTCTTGAATAGCTAGGATTACAAGCATGAGGCACCAGGGCCTAGCATCTGATATGGTTTTAAATACACTGAGTGTCCACGTGTTCTAGATTTAATTTGATAAGCTTATAAGTAGTAGTCTCTTATTTGCATAAATAACTTATTTATTGGTCTCTGCCTCTTCTTGCATGGCGCTGGACAGATGGTGGTTGTTTACTTGCATAAACAAGATGTAGAGTCATTCTGCCTCAGCATTCACACAGAAAATGCAAAATGGAGTAAACTGCTTTATAAAAAGTCAGTTAGGGGAAGGCCGCATGCCACACTCACTGGGTCAGTTCCATCCTGGGGCTTGGGCTTCCTCTACCTCAGCTCTTCCCCAACAATGATTCTGCCCTGCACACCTCTCTTAAGCCGGCTATGTCTTCCAATTTACCCTTCTGATTTTCTGCATCTTTAAATTGTCTCATTTGTTCCTTTATTGTCTCCTCAATTCTAGACTGTTAGCTTTTAGGGCCCAGAGCTGTGCAGACCAAAATTCCCAGGTCAGCCTCTGCCTCCTCATATCTACATACATTAAGAAATCCCCTGGCAGGCTGGGAAGGTGGCTCAGTGGTAGAATTGCTTGCCCAGCATGCATGAAGCCCTGGGTTTGATTCCTCAGCACCACATAAGCAGAAAAAGCCGAAAGTGGTACTGTGGCTCAAGTGGTAAAGCTCTAGCCTTGAGCAAAAGAAGCTTGGGGGACAGTGCCCAGACCCTGAGTTCAAGCTCCTTGACTGACAAAAAAGAAAAAGAAATCGCCAGGCTCCAGCAGAACCCCTAACAGCCAGAGCCACAGCGCAAGGCCCCATTCTATCAGCGAAACCAATGACTGAGTGAAAGAAAGAATGCATGAATGGCTTCCTCAGAAGGTAGAGGGAAATTCATAGGAAGTTTGATTACAACACCAAGTAGGTTAAGTCACAGGGCTAAATGGGGAGCTGAGATTTTGAGGTCTTGCGTGACTCACCTCCACTCACACAGGGTTTCTGCTTCTTCCAACCCCCACTCACCCAACAACGTTGTGCAGCTCTAGCTGGGCTGTTTCCACGGCCAGCACACTCACCTCTCACAATCCCAAAGAGGATCTCAGGTTCCCAGAAGCAGTTAGTCCTGGCCCCTGCCTTGTCTGGGGATGCTGGAGAGAGAAGCTTCTCCGAGCAGGTGGGGTTTAGAGAAGGGTAGGGATTGGCCTCGGCTTAAATAGCTATTGTTTTAACTAAACTCAAGGTTCCTCCCTTCACTCAGTAACTGGAGAGCTTCCACAGAAAAGACACAGGCTGTGAATGGGGTGGGTGCTGGGGGAGCTGGGGGGGAGGAGGGGTGCAGGTTTCCAGGGATCAGTGCAGAGGAAGCTGAAGCTCCTTCCCTCCTAGATGCCATCCTTTGGCCTTAGTCTCCGTCTCCCTTTGGTGAGTCTGCAGGACCAGGGAGGGCCGAGGCTTACCCCTGTCAGGCAGGCCCTGTCCATCCAGAGCCCAGCTCCTGCTCCAAGCCTGGCCTGATAGGGGAGTCATTTTACCCAAGTCTGAGTTCCCCACTGTGCTCTGCTTCTCCCCACCAGGGCAGGTCAGCTCGTTCAGAGCCTCAGCCTGGATTTTAGTCTTGGGGATGCTCCTGGATTAGACGGTGGCATGTTTGAATGACCTGTAATATCACCACCCCTGTGGGAGCTGGGCTTGCAGCCTGGAAGAACTCCATTCCCCAGCACTGACCTTCTTCAGTCCAAGTGTAAGGAGGCTCTCAGGAGCACACCTGGGAGTGCTGGCCGCAGTCTTCTTGGAGGCAGGGCTGCCTGACACAGCACCCTGGCCTTGGAGGAGAGGGTCTGGGTTCAAATCCTGATTTTTGTCCACCAGGTTGAGATTGAGTTGGGCGAGTTCCCTCACCTATGCCAAGTCCCTACCACGAAGCCGATTATCCTGACTTTGTGGCTAGGGGGCCCCGGAGTGCTCTGGCGCCTGTATCCCTGCGCTTGCTGGTCTGTGAGTCCTCCTGGGGCTGCTTCCTCATCCTTCCAGCCTCAGGCTGTGGCCTTGGAGCCCCACCCCTCCAGTTGCAGGCCCCCTCCCACCAGAGTGCAGCTCAGGCTGCCCGCAGCAGGAGCTCTGGGGAGGGTCCCGTGGGCCTAGACTGCTCCCTTAATCGAGGGTAGAGGCCGGAAGAACTGCCTTCCTTCCACCATTACTGCTTGCTTGCCGAGAAACCCATTACCATTACCAGGGTGAAGAATGTGTCCAGGAGGAAGGAGGCCTCTAATGGGGTGTGTGTGTGCGGGGGGTTGCTCTCAGGAGACTCAGACTGGAGGGGGGTGGAGAAGAGGCCCTGGCCTAGCAATCAGCTCCCATTCTGTTTTCCAAGGAGCTGTTGGCTTGCTGCCTCTTGCCTAAGGCCTAGGGTCCAAGACTCAGGCCTGTTTGCCTCAGCCCTGGCCCTCAGGTTCTCTGCTCTGCAGCTGACCCCTTCCCTTTCTTCCTTCTTCCCTGATGCTTCCATGGTGACACTGTTCCTTTTGAGTCACCAAGCCTGAAGAGCCACCACCCATCCAAGTGCTCATTTCATCCTCTGAGATCCCCTAGTGATTGAGGCCCGGCAACACTGGGTTCTGCAGTCAAAAACACTGGAGTCACAATCCAGGGGGTAGAGGCCAACCTGTATCCTACATGGTTGGGTTCTCCCAATGAGGTTGGGTGGTCCCTGGTTCTCTGAGGGGGTTGCTATTGTGGCCCTGGGGAGAAAGGATGGAGAGTACAAAGAAAGATGTGTAAGGAATTGGAGGCAGGAAGTCCGAAAGAGGGTCAGAATCCTTGCAGGAAGCTATGTGACCTTGGGCAAGTCCCTTCCTTTCTCTTGGGCCTCCAGTGGAGCAGGCCAGACAAAGGCAAGGGCCTCAGAGGGCAGGGAGTTTCACTGAGTTTGTCGCGGGGCACCTGGGGATCTGGAGGAAAGCCGGTGTCAGGCAAGGTTCCCCCTGAGGTCTCAGAGCCTGGGGCATACAGGCCTATAGGGCAGCAATCCTAGGCTGACCCCCCTCCTCCCCCAGAACCAGCTCCAACTCTTTCTGGGTTTCTAGGTGACTTGGCTGGCCCCTCTGGATGAGTTCTACTTTAAACCTGCTGCTGCTGCCGCCTCTGTATTGGGGGGGCTCCCACAGGGGCCCCCAGGCAGGAGCCCCCCCCCAGCCAAGCCCTGCGGGAGGGGCTGCAGTCCCCATCCATCCCAATGGCCACGCGCCTTCCTCCTCCTCCCCTCCTCCCGGCGTCGCTGGAATGAAGATTCCAGGGCACCTGCTGTGGGCCAGCCGCTGCAGAGCCCCTCCTTTGGGGACACCCAGGAGGCGTCTGGCCTCCCTGGGCAAACGACCAGCCTTCAACCTCGCAGTGTTCAGTCAAGAGGCCTCGAGAGACAGGCTGTGGTCACGGGGCCAGCGGCCCAAGAAGGAGGGCTAGCCCAAGACTGGGATGTGTGGGTCTTCAAAAGGGGGAGCAGGGGTGGCAGGTGCCTGGCATCCCAGGGCTGGGGAGGGAGGAGGAGGAGGGCCGCCAGGCTGCGGGAGGAAGGTGCCGTGGCGGGCTAAAGGACCGAGCTGCAGCCCGAGGAGGCAGACTGGGATGTAGTGGGTGGGGG